ATTGTGCAAGTAAAGAGGCAAGATTGTACTTCAAATATATTAAATTTTACCTTTAATTGTTTAGTGCATATACAACAAATCTTGAATAATGGTACGAAGTTTGACTATGTCTCGTTTCCTTAAGCTCCTACTGTTCCTTTCATTTGTAAGAAAAAAAGAAGTCTTAAACGGTGAACTATGAATCTAAACTGAGGTGCAAGATGAATGGCATCAATCCCTGAAAATATGTGAATGTAGTGGAATAGAATAGAAGGATAACTTGTCATTTGATATGTTTAAAACCCAGCTTTAGGTTAGTGGTACAATAACCTATGTAATCTCTTGTCAGTGAATCCAGCTGCAACATTTGTTGGTTTCCATATTTCAGTTTGATATTAACCGTTCCAAATTAAATCTATCTTCTCAATCATAGAAACACCACTTGAAGAAATTCATTAATGGATTCAAGATAAATTAGAAAATGTTTTCACAATCCATGCTAGCATCATGAAACGAAACTGGAGAGGAGACAACCTAGTGACATCAACCAGCAACGAACCGAGTCTTACAACCTTGCACTTTATTCCTCTCGAGATTCACCAGCCCGGAAAGAGAGGATGATGTCGAAAATGAGTCCATACAGAACCAAAGCCTCCGCAAAAATGAGGATAAGAATCATTCCAACAAAAAGCTTTGGTTGTTGGTCCTAACGCCAGCATCGTCGACGATTCTAATAACCATGCCGGAAGAGAGATCAGCGAGGCCACAAGCGAGACCAGAGGAAAGAAGAGCATATTCATCGAATAGGTAGTAAGATTTGGCTTTTGGGTTAACCTCGATGCTGATAAAAACCAAAATAATCAACCCATAAATACCTACAAGCCAGCAATAACGAAGGGGATGATCAATTTCATCACCAGCTCCAGCCTCATCACCCCCACCGACGCCACTCCGACACTGCTCTTGTCCGTCCCGTATGTCGCTCCCATAAAGAAGAACACGAGGGCATGAAAGGCTCCGAGGAAGCCAAAGAAAAGAGTAGTTTCATCGCCACTATATGTGGACGCCATCTTAGTTTCTCAAAACTTTCAACGGAAGATTTGAAGCGATTCGAGGAACTTTGATCTGTGGATTCTTCAAAATAAATCAATAAGCTTGGTGGTTAAATGAGAGAGAAAGGGAACGAAATGGGTTTAAAGGAGGAAAGAACAAGGGAAAGAGAAAAGCTTAAAAAGAATTTAATTTAATTACTTTTTCTGATTTGAAATTTGATGGTTAAAAAATAATTTAATTTATCTACGTCACAATACCGTTAGATAATTAATGATAGAATAAATAAAAATTTAATATCTAAAATTTAACGAGTAAATTAAAAAAATTAAAAATATAATTAATAAAATAAGAGAAAAAAATTAAGTAGATAAGCGTATAATTTAACCTTTAAATAAATATCTATCAAGTACAATAATTTTCCAGGATGTTTGTCGGATAGCAACGTGTACTACTAGTATATGATCCTTGACTCAATTTCCTTCCTTGTACATCCTACTTGTTCTTTCCTTTGAGGCTGAACCGTGTTATCCTAACAATTGTCGCCTCCAATTTCCCTGGAACAGAATTAACTCACACCAGTCTCCATGATTACCTCTTTCTTCTTCTTCTTCCTTTCTCTCCTTTCCATCCCCTTATCCTACTCGTCCTTATCATATGACCGTCCAGAAAACTTCATCATCCACGTCTCAAAATCACACAAGCCTGCCCTTTTCTCCTCTCCGCATCACTGGTACTCTTCCATCCTCCATTCTCTCCCTCCTTCCCCTCAACCCATCCAGCTCTACTCCTATGAAGTCATCATCAATGGCTTCTCCGCTCGCCTCACGGCTTTTCAGGCAGATAAGCTCAGGGGACTGTCCGGAATCCTTTCAGTGATGGCAGGACTTTTGGCGGGGTTTCACTGTACTATGGTCCCCCTTTTACCTGATTACTCGCTTCGTTTGGTTTATGCTGGTGATGTTGGAAACAGGTATTGTTATATGGGGAGTATAAGTCCATCCAAGGTTCAAGGCAAAATCGTTGTTTGTGACGGGAGGGAATGCTAGAGTTGAAAAAGGAGCTGCAGTGAAGTATGCTGGTGGGCTAGGAATGATACTGGCAAACACTGCTGAGAGTGGTGAACCTCGCCGATGCTCATCTCATTGCCGCCACCGAAGTTGGCCAGATAGTCGGTGATAAGATCCGGGAGTACGTCAAAAGGAGTCAGTTTCCAACGGCTACAATTTTGTTTCGTGGAACGGTGATTGGCCCTTCACCACCAGCTCCAAAGGTTGCCGCGTTTTCAAGTCGTGGTCCAAACCATTTGACCCGGAGATTCTCAAACCAGATGTCATTGCTCCGGGAGTTAATATTTTGGCTGGATGGACTGGTTTCGCTGCACCAACGGATTTGGACATCGATCCGAGAAGATTGAATTTAACATAATTTCAGGTACTTCATGTCATGTCCTCATGTTAGTGGACTGGCTGCTCTGCTTAAAAAGGCATACCCTAATTGGTCACCTGCTGCCATTAAATCTGCCTTGATGACAACCGCTAACACTTTAGATAATTCGGGAAGTACCATTAAGGATCTTGCAACCGGGGAAGAATCATCACCATTTGTTCATGGAGCCGGCCATGTCAATCCCAACCGAGCTCTTGACCCTGGATTGGTATATATGATATCGAATATAACGAGTACATTGCATTCCTTTGCTCCATCGGCTATGACTTGAACCGGATTGCAGTTTTTGTCAAGGGTCCTACTGGCTCAGATACGTGTGAAGGGAAATTGGCTACACCGGGCGACCTCAATTATCCATCATTCTCGGTTGTTTTTTATTCTAATAATCACGTTGTTAAATATAAAAGGACGGTGAAGAACGTCGGAACTTCAGCTGATGCAATTTATGAAGCTAAACTGAACGCTCCACCAGGTGTTGAAATCAAAGTTTCCCCGAGTAAGCTCGAATTCAGCGATGAAAACCAAAAGCTGGGCTACGAGGTCACATTTGCAAGCAATGGCTTGGCCTTGTCTGCTGTTGGTTCAGCATTGGGGTCGATTGAGTGGTTCGACGGAGCTCATCGTGTGAGGAGTCCAGTAGTTGTTAGGTGGGTTGAGGGACTGAAGGATTCCATTTGATCTGCAGACTGTGAGATGCTGTAAATAAAGTAGGAAGGAACCATCATCACCCATAGCTAATAAATCGATGCTTGTTTTTTGTTGATAAAATATCCAAGGACCAGTTTGAAATGAAAATGGGAATTAGATCATTGCCCATTTATATAGTCGGACTTATTGGCACTTGACACTCACTCGTTATTGATTTACCTCTTGAATCTCATGGAAAATTAGAGAGAAGTTCATAAAGCTGGAATCAAGGAATAATGAATTTCTTTTATCTCCGGTTACTAAAGATTGAGGCAATTTGTTTTTCAAATCTTAGATGATTAAAATAAAATAAAATTTTATAATTATAATAGAAATATATAAAGATTGAGTAACTAATTACATAGTTTTATTCTTATTTTTCTAGGGTAAATTGCACCCTTCATCATGGAACTATACTATATCTTTATTTTACTTATTGTACTTTCATTTTTTAATTTACTTATTGAACTTTCGAATTGCTCTTGTTTTAATCACTCTGAATTATTTTATTATTATTTATGTATGACATGACATTTTTTTATTATTTAATAGAAAAAAATAGAATGTGGCTGGTTGTCATCGTCGGTTACCATAGATGGTGCTCGTTCGGTCCTAAATTTCATGGGACGTTTCACCTCGACACCTTAAGTCTGAATATGACCTCCATTTTGTAAGAACTTACTCCAAAGTTCACGAATTAGAGATTGAAAGTGAGGAACCTGAAATATTTCAATCGAGATTTACCAGTTTTGGGACATTTTTGGTGAAACAACCACCTGATTTGATCTCAGGGGTCAAGACGGATCAACCCATGATATTTAGGGCCAAACGACCACCATTATAGCGGTGGATGGTGGCCGACGGTGGCATCCGACCACCTTCTATTTTTATTAAATATTTTTAATTATTTTATATTAAATAATAATAAAAATTTCCATGTCATGCAGAAATAATAATAAATAATTCAGAATTATAAAAAATGAGCAATTCAAAGTTCATTGAGTAAATTAGAAAAATTAAAGTACATCGAGTCCAATACGAGAAAGAATGTAATTAAGTGAGGAATGATTTAATTTACAATTTTTTTCTAAAATCAACTCTTGTTTTTTTAAGGGTAAATTCTGCATTTAGTACATAAACTATCAATTTTGATATGTTTTAATACTAAAACTTTTAATTTTTCAAATCATGTCTAACGTTTAGTTTTTGTTACGTTTTAGTACCTCACCGTTAAAAACTTAACGGGTGATTTGCACGTGGTACCTTTTTTATGGGTAAATTACATCATTCATCACTCAACTATCTTCTCACTCCTATTTTGGTCTTAAAGTTTAATTTTTTTTTAAATTTATTACTTAACTATCAAATTATTTCTAATTTAATAAATCAAACTTTCAAATTTATTTTTTTATTTTTAATTATGTATTAATAAAATAATAATAAAAATGACATTAATAAAATAATTAGAGTAATTAAAAAGGAGCAATTTGAAAGTTGAGTAGTTAAATTGAATTTTTTTTAACTTTAATACCAAAATAGAAGTGAGAATATAGTTGTAGGATGAATGATGTAATTTATCTATAAAAATATTCATTAAGTTGTTAAGTTTTCAATAATTATGTACTAAAAATAAAAACTAAACATTATATATGATTTAAAAAATAAAAAATAAAATATTAAAACAGATCATAATTGACCATTTAAATATTAAATATTTAATTTATCATTATTTTAATTATGATATTTTTTCCGTAACGTACTTCATTTATGTATATAAAAAACACAAACGAAGATAGTGACGATAATTGTTGAATGACAAGTAATAACACAAGCCGAAGGGAGGCCATGCCCTTAGATCAGCCAACCACCACCAGCAAACCTCCCCGTCAGACCCATGTAGCCACCGCATCCCAATGCCACGCACCGCGGAGGGTTTTCTTCCTACGCCTGAGGCGCCATAAAAAGCTACCCACAGTTCGACTTGGTGGGAAGAAACCACGGCGAGGGCTTTTGATAGTGAAAGTTTTGAAGAAGATGAGGCTAAGGTGGCTGAGGTTGCAGTATAGCTGCATGTTGAGGAAGATGAAGAAATATTACGACGATTTGGTTAAGGACCTCGTTGAAGCTGGTTCAACCGTGGAGGCTTTACATCAAAGAATGTTTATGGAGTCCACTTTCGCTGTCCCTGTCATGGGTGTTTCCTTCGCTAACTACCCTTCCGCCACTGGATCAGATCGTCCTCGACCCTGTTTCTTTTGAATCATTTTAGTATTTTTTTTTTCTGTTTTTCCCCCGCTAGGGGTTTCTTTAAGTTTTTTTTTCCTTTCAACTTTCTCTTTTATTTTCTGCAGGCTCATGTTATCAAAATCTATTTAAGATATGTAAAGAAGTTTTCTGAAGATGCTATTATCTCCTTTGCTCCATTGCTTTTCCAGATTGCTAATTGTCTACTGGTATTTTTACCAGTAAACAAACGGGGGTAAGAAAATTGACAACTTTACCAGAGCTGCCAAGATGGGAAATTTGAGTGGAATATACGTTAGCAGTTTCATTTTAAAGTTGACGTTACCACTTTGCAGTGTGCCGATTTGTCGAGAAAGCTCAAAACCCAGGGCTGTTTTCATGGGAATCGATGCGTTCTTTTGCTTTCTTTACACTACAATCTCGAAACAATATTTGACTTGACAACTGGTTCTAACGTATGGAGAAATTACTTGATAACATTTTCAAAACTGTTTGAATATAAGGTGGAGTTTGGTTCGTTGTAATTCCTTGGAATTAGGGGAAATTGAAATTCAATTCTATCATTTTTTCATGTTTGATTCAAGTTTTTAAAGGAGAATTGGAATTCAATTCCATCAAATGAGAAAAAGTAAATTACATTCATAACATGATAGAATTGAAATCCTTTGGAGGAGGAAATGTGAAATTTGATCATACTACCCTTATCAATCTTTTGGTATACGAGTCAGATTTTTTTTAAAAAAATTCGAGATCGGGTCGGATTTTTTTAAGTTTGATATTCGGGTCGGGTCATGTTTTTTAAAGTGTGATATTCAGGTCGGGTTTTTTTAAAAATTTTAGGGTCGGGTCGGGTCGGGTTTTTTTTTAAAAAAAAATCGAGGTAGGGTTCGGGTCTGGTTTTTTTAAGTTTTATATCCGGGTCGGGCAATGTCGGTTTTTTTAAGTGTGATATTTGGGTTGGGTTTAGGATTTAGAATTTATGGTTTATATTGAGTTTAAGGTTTAGGGTTCGAGTCGAGTTTAGGGTTTTTTAAGTCAATATTTTTATTGAATAAAAATATTTTTTTATTATTTCATGTCGGGTTGGGTCGGGTTTTTAATTCATATATTCGGGTTGGGTTGGGTCGGGTCTCGGGTGGAGGTTCCCTTGTTCTTAGGTCGGGTGGACCAAAAACTCGACCCAACCCGACCCATGGTCATCCCTAATTACAATGATTTTAACTTATAACGTTTATTAGCATGATTTTTATAATTAATTGAAATGAATAATTAATCAATAAAATGAAAATTTATTATTTTTAAAATTTTTATAATATATTGTTACATGTATGTTATAAAACAAACTAAAATAAAATAAAAAACAAGAAGTACAATTATATCATTTTACATTACTGAAATCAAATTCATTTGACATGTCTGCGAACCAAATAGAATATGGAATTAGATTCCAATTCAATTTCCTGCCAACCAAACAGGTTTCAGATTCAGATTCTAATTCCTTCACAGATTCTAATTCTCTCAGAAACATTCCAACGAACCAAACTCCACCCAAGAGTAAATGCGAAAGATTACGTCCATATGCTCCAGGAGAATGATTAATCACAATTGTTTTTATAATTTTTTTAATAAATTTTAAATCTAATCATATCTAGAAGGAAGTCGAAGGGGTTTGAGAGAAAGAAATTGTTTGTAGTAGGCCTAGAACTTATAAATGAAAAAAAAACATAAAAGAATAAAGACGATCAACTTAATAAATCGATTAAATATATCTATTAATAAATTATTTAAAATAACTTATATTAGGTTCAATTACATTTTGTCACCCTACTAAAAATGAAAATATATAATATGCTAAAAGAACTCATCTGAATCAACAAAGTAGCATACCTCTTGTCTTGCGCTGATGTATCATACAAAATCATTAACTCAACAATAAATCGGTATACATAAGCACATGGAGTACTGTACTCGGCGCACATGATGATTTTCTCAAGGGAAAACAAAATTCCCTGATAAGATCCCACCGAGGACGCGGTTCAATAACTCTATGTGCGCCAACTATTTGGCCTCGACATTCTGGTCAATTGTCTCAACAAAACAAAAATCTCAGTTGTTGATAACCCAAAGATCATGTGATCCAAAAATGTTTTAAATCACAAATGCCGTCTCACATTTCAACTAGTTTGGACACTTGCTTTACTTTTCGTCAGATGGAGACAATCATGTTGAAACGAAACAGTATTTTCACTCGTTTTAATTTATAAATGTAAGCTTTTAATTAATCAAATAGCGTTCTTTCATTAAAAATTTTATTATTATTTGGGTAGCAATCAATTTTCGTCCTACCTTTTATTATTATTATTTCTTATTTTATTAATACATTTTATGTTACGTGCATGTAGCGACTCATTTTCATCCGAGATTTATTTAGTATATATATATAATAATATAATGTAATTTTTTAAAAATATTTTTTGAAAATATATAATATATATCTTTTTAGAAAACTTTTTTTAAAAGCATATAATATATAGTTTTTAAAATTGGTTTTTGAAAATATATAATATGGTTTTGAAAACACATTTTTGAAAACATATATTATATAGTTTTGAAAACACATTTTTAAAAACACATTTTTGAAAACATATAATATATATAATTTTGAAAATGATTTTTGAAAACATATGTAATATAGTTATGAAAACATATATATAATTTTGGAAAACATATTATTTTTGAAAATATAATATTATATAGTTTCTATTATATATTATATTAATATTATTTACTTGAATTTATTATTTTATCATTATTATTAATTTTTTATTCAGTTTTTGTTTTTCAGGTCCAAGAGTCCATTTGGGTCCAATGAAGCCCAACCAAGCCATGCCAACCTGACCTAACTGTGACATCCTCAATACCGGTTAGTGATTAAAGTGTAAGATTTTAAAATTTAATGACCAGATTAAATAAATTGAAAAGTGAAGGAATTAATTGAAAGATGTTGGTGTAGGATGATTTAGCAAATGAAGGAAAAGTAAAAGGGTAAATGGGTCTTTGAACAAGGAAAATAATTAAAATTTTAATGGTGGGTATTATAATACCTATGTGGAGCATATGTTGGGAAATCAAGTTTCCAGACATTTCTCCCATCTTCATCTTCTTCTCTTCTCCAACGTGAAGCCAAAGCTAAGATAAGGTGAGTTTGATTTCTTTTAGTTAATCCTTCAAATTCAAACATGGTTTTAATTCATGAAGCTTTAGGAAAGATAATGGAGATGAAAAAGGTCATAAAAACTAAAGATTTGTAAGTTATGAAGGATTAAAGACAGGAAGTGGATAAGTGAAATTTTGAATAAGGATGTATAAATGTATTTAGAAGTTGAATTTGACTTGTCATCTACGAGAATAAGAAGTTATAAGTGTTGAAATTAAGTTGGATAACATGAAAATTTTGGTATGATTCTTAGCTTTAAGAATTTGGATGAGATATGGGAGATAATAAGGTGTTGGAATGATAAAAGTTAGTTAAAATGGTTGTAGTTGAGTTTAGTGGTATCCAAGGGGTTTTATATGAGAAAATTTAATGAAAAGTTATGGAATTTTCGGGTGAAACCAGTTTGTTATTGACATGTGCATTGATACACTATGAATGGGTACCGATGCACTAAGATCAATTTTGAAGGTGCATCAATGCATTAAGTGGTGCATCGATGCATGGAAATTTCGAAGTTATTTTGGGTACCGATGCACCCATAGTGCATCAGTACACTCCTAAAGGAAATTAGGAATATGAGTTTATTAAATTCATTTAAGTTAATAGCATCGAAGTATAAGGTTTAGGCTTCTGATAATCATATTGAAAATTATATTTATGTAGATATTGAGCCTAAACGAGTTCTGGAACAAGTGACAAGTAAGATCGATCGAGGAAAAGGCAAAAAGATATAGGTGAGTGCATATGCATAACATGAATATAGTATTATAATCAGTTCTAGACTTGTGATAAGTCTATATTCAATATTTTGATACATGATCACATTCCATATTATGATAGATGACATTAATTAATATTATATGCATTATGTGACATGAATATGCAGAAAAAGTTATATGAGCTATGTGATAAAGGTATGGAAAATGATATGTCTATGTGATAAAGGTATGGAAATAATATGTCTATGAGATATACTATGTGAATTGTGAAAGCCCATGTTATGTAGATGAGAACTATAGGTATAGTTGGCATGCCAAGAGTAGAGGGTCTACGCGGTCCTTCGGGACAATTCTACGTGATCATTCGTGATATATATGTATTATTTGGAACATGAAATGATGTCTTTTGATACACCTATTTGATCCTAGGTATATGTATATGATTCTTAAGGAATTTCTATGTGGTTTTTATGGACAAATCTTATATGGCACTACGGTGCAATTCTACGCAGCAATTCGGTGCAAATTTCTAAGCGATCATTCGGGACAAATTCTACGTGGCACTTTGGTGCAAATTTATACGAGCTGTGGTAACAGCATAGTGCACAACCTCACAGTACTCACATAGCTCAGGTTCTCAGTATTGTATCATGAGCTATTGAACTTATTGATATGAATTCATGATGGATAATTTAATAAGATCAAGGGTAAGATACATGGTTATATGACTTGCATGGATTGAATATATGATTTCATGATATTGCATTTTATTATGACATTTTCATTTTATTTTATTATCATTATCATTATGCCTCACTAAGTCTATGACTTAGCGTGTAAGTGTTTTACACGTAGGTACCGAAAAGCAGAGAGATCCATTATAAGCTCAGCAAAACAACATAACTCCACTTGAAGGTCAGATCAGAAGTAGATTAAATAGTATGTCTTATTATGTGATAAATAGGTTGGCATGTAAACAAAATCGGTAAATTAAGTATTTATGCTCTGATCAAGTTTTATAATGTTTTAAACGTATGTATGTAAATGTAACTATATAGGGATGAAAGGTTAATTTTTTAAAATTTTTACGAGTTTTTATGTACGT